CATCTCATAGTCCAAGGACAGAATCAGAGTAAAAATAATATTACACAACAGAGCAAAAGTCCTGAACTTCTGTTGGTTTTGGGGGTGATTCTTTATAGTTTATAAAAACAGACATGTTAATTCTGAAATACTTTTTTCAGTGGGAGGTAGGGAGTCCTGCTTTCTTAGAGGCACAGTTAGCATTTTTCAAAATCCAAAAGATCATAGCAACAGAGTTGGCAACCAACACTACCTCCTTACCCTGTTAAAAAAAAGTCTGGGGACAACAAAGTAACAAGGTTCAGAAACACATGTGTGATCTGTGGGCCCCTGGTACATGTTTTAGCCAAAGGGTCCAGGAAAGCAAACCCCTTTCAGTTTTTTGTTTTTTCCAAGAGAAGCTTTACATTTTTGTATATGTGAATTCTCCCAAAAGTTGACAACTGGCCGCCAGTTCAGTGATCTTGAAAAACTGAGCCAGAGAAAACACCAGGCCACCAGTTTGCAGCCCCTCATGAAGGAGGTTGTTTGCAATGTTCAGTCTCATTAACAAATAGTTTTGAGTACCTGACTTATACTAGATACTTAGGATACAAAGGTGAAAAAAGACAAAAGTCCCTGCCCTGCCGAAGTAGACAGTCCAGTGGGAAGACCACAGGTAAATAACGAAATTATAGGGTATGTTAGAAGGGGTAAGGGCTGTGGAGAAGTAAATGAGGCAAGGAAGCTCCATGCCTACAGGGAGTTTAGACAAGAGGATTAGAGGAGGCCTCACAGAAGGAGACATTTGAACAAAGTCCTGCAGGAAATGAAGCAGTGACTCATAAGCATGTCTGGGGGCAAGTGTCCAGGCAGAGGGCATGGCCCCTGCAAAGACCGAAGGAGCATTCTTTTTTTTTTTTTTCCAAAGGAGAGCATTCTTAGATGTTCTCTCTATTTGTTTTTAAGATTTATTTTTATTCATTTATGCATACAAGAAATGGGTGTAGGCCAGAACTACAGTGGGGGAAGGTGGTGAGAGGATTCACCAAAGACAGAGTAGGAGCAGAGCAGGGGATATACTGAAGTACATTTCTGAGGGGAGCAGCAGGTGAGACAGGAAAGGTCTGCTGTGCCATGGGGGTCAGCTCCCTGGTCGGGAATTATACTCCGGCCCTCACTCAGTAATAGCACTGAGACTTAACCCCTAGGCCATCAGGAAGGCCCCATCTTAGAGATTCTTAGAGCCCCTGGGAGCAGGCACATGAGGGGTGGATGTACCTAAGAGCTCCAACAACTGCCATCCAGGAATCGGAGGAAATCTAAACTCAATTCCTGAATATAGAAACCATGCCTTCATGCAATTTTGGGGTGAAGAGTTCCAGGTTATGAAAGATTCTCCATCACCAAGAACCGCTATGGGAGAGACAGGTGGCAAGAGCATCAGGACTTTCACCAGAGCAGCAGACCTCTCTTGTCTTACCCACTGCTTCTCCTAGCACTGTGTTTCAATAAAACAGACTTTGCTATTCTCCATCCGCCTCTGGTGAATCCCTTCACCCCTGCACCTCCAGACTATACCCGATTCTTCCCCACCACAGGTAATGCTGGGTGTTTTATTGAGAAACTTAAGCTTTCTTCTTCTCTATGCATACTAATTCTATCAAAGTTCTTTATACATACAAGAATATATTTGTCTCTATTCTCATAGTTGGCCAAACCCTTTTAAAGCATGCAAGTGAGGCTCTCCCTCAGCCATGCACTAAATAAAATAGAAAGAAAGAAATTTCACCACCCAAATAACTGCCTCTCTCCCCTGCAGGTATTGGGGTTTGGAACCCTGCCTTTGATGTTACCCCCCGTGACCTCATCACTGGCGGCATCATCACAGAACTGGGTGTCTTTACCCCCAAGGAGCTTCAGGGAGCCCTCAGCACCACCGTCTCCTGAGAAGCCTGGATGGATCCCAGAAATAACCAACCCTGCTCCCACAATCTTAGGTTTTATAATAAACTCAGTGTGTTACCTACCCAAATGTTGAGTGTCTTCAGGGAGCAGATAAGGCAGGAATTTTTCATGGCTCTTAAGAGCCCAGCAGCAGGCTGCCCAAGGTCAAATCTTCACCCCATGAATTTTTCTGCCCTATTCTATTCAGTTACTTCACCTTTCTAGGCATTATTACTATTTCCAGGCATTGTTTCCTCGATTATCAAATGGACACAATATAGCCCTTTTGGTTGCTGACTCTAGGGTAAAACCTAGGTGGAGGGTTTTCAAAGAGGACACAGAAGGCTCTGTAACCAATAAATAATAGTGCCATACATATGTTTTCTTAAAGATTTGTTTATTGATGCATACAAGAACTGGGGTACAAGCAGGGGTGAGGGGGGCATGAGGGTGAGAAGATTCACCAGAGACAGTGGGAAGTATAACCCACAAATTTACTGAAATACACTGCTGAGGGGAACAGACATGTGAAGTCTACTGCATCATGTGGGTGACCTCCCTGGCCAGGGATCAAAGTTATGTTGTAGTGGCTGTGGACAGCTTCATAGTGCTGTACTTAACCCCTTGCCCCACCAGGGAAGCCCCCAGTATTTTTTTTTAACGCAAAATAAATGCAAAAAAAAAGACCCACAATGAACAAAACATCAAGAGAGACTAGAATGGTCTCCAACATGACCTTAAATTCTTCACCTCTGAATTCAGCCTTTATCTCATTGAAACTATTTACAATATCAGGTAGCTGGCCAACAGCAGCTTAACAATTGTGGTGTTTTTGTTTTTGTTTTTGTTTTTTAATATTAGCGTGTTATTTTACGTGTTTGGAATACACATAAAATAACATAAAATACCTTGTTTACTGAAGGTCTGGGGACTCCTTAAATTTTGCACGAGGAACCCTCCCTTCGTCCCTAGTCCTAGTCTGAATTTCATGTCTAAAAAGGAGCATAACACAGTATGTGTTTCTTGGAAATGTTTGCGAAAGGCTAATCACTTTTGTAGAGCGCGGGTCTCTAACTATTTGCCCCGTTGCATCCCGTGAGCCTTTGCGCCCATCCGGTCCCGTCGGCGCTTTCCGGCTGCGACTGCGCGACGCTACGCCTCAGCCAGAGTGCGGCCATGGCGCAGGGACAACGCAAGTTTCAGGCGCGGAAGCCTGCGAAGAACAAGGCGGTCGCTACGGCTTCGGAGCGGAGCCGGGGCCCGAGGAAGGGCGGTGAGTAGTGGTCGGGTGGCTGGGAGTCGAAACGGGTCCCAGGCTCCCCAGCCACATGCGAGCGCATCTCTCCCAGGTCGTGTTATCGCCCCGAAGAAGGCTCGCGTTGTGCAGCAGCAGAAGCTTAAGAAGGTAAGTGGGGGACGTGCGGGCGGCCTGAGAGCTAGCCCGGAGATCGGCGGTGGGTAGGGTCAAGGCAGAGAAGGAGCCTGGGGCCTTGCGTGGGCCTCCCAGCTTTGTGAGCCAAGGTTCCGCCCTTGTGCGGTGGGTACGGGAACCCCGCGTACCATTCAGCTAGCCTTCAGTAAGCAAGGCCTGGCCCTCAAAAATTGCCCAGCGAGGTTGGCTGCCTTCCTGACCTCCTTAATAGAACTCGGGAGGGGAGGTGGCATGGGAAAGTTGAAAACCTCAGCTTTGCTAGAAGGCAGTGCCAGGTGCAAGTCTCAGCTTTTTCAGTAACTGGTATTTCTTCACCCTGCACCTCTTAAATCCTGCATTCGGGGCGATAGAGCATTTCTCCTAGTTTTGCAAGGATTAAGTGCCTCAGGGCACGTAGAGTGCTGAGAACTGCAGGGGACCCAGATCTCAAGCCAACCCAGCGAATTAGAAAAACCTGTGCTGTTAGAGGCAGTTACCGAGGAAGTTTAGAAGGGAGTGAAGGATGGTGGTGGCCCCAGGAGTCCTGGGGGTCGGGTGGGACTCAGGACTGGGCCAGAGTGGAGGGAGGGCCACTCTGAATCCTGATTTCTGGACTCTTAGCTGCGTTGGGTTGGTGGATCCTGTACATAAGGTACAAAGACATGAAACTGGTTGTGGTGGAGTCAAATCTGTGTTCAAGCTGTACCTTATATACTTACTTGCACTATGATCTTGAGTTAACTAGCTAGTATCCCCTGAGCCTTGATTTTCTCAGACCTGGGTACCCAGTGACCTGCCAGCTCACATGGCAGGAGAGTTGGAAATGTATCCCAAACCTTGAACTATTCATGAAGACTATCCTTCCAAGTGTTTGAGGTTACTCCTCATTCCTCCGTTTCTCTCACATTTCCTCCCTTTCATTCTCTGGGTGGAATCCCATCCTTTTTACTTTTAGGATTGATCCTGTCTCCTCCCATTTCCCATCTCCTAGATCCCCCACCACCACCTGGTGCCACTATCATTGTCTGGTGTTAACATCTATCCTGGTTCCCAGTCTCTTCCTAGCAGCCAGATGGCACCCGTGAGCACCTGAGTCAAGTCTGTCTTCCCTCTACCTTTCTCAGGAAAAAGCCAAGTCATCACCAGCCCACAGGACCCTGCACTATCTGTCCCCAGCCCCTCCCAGCACTCATCTTGTTCCTTCTCCCTGTTGCTCACTGACACCTTAACCACGCCTTGTCCCACCTCGGAAATTTACACTGGCTGTTTTCTCTGCTGGAGTCCTTCCAAAAGTTCACATGGCTCCTTTCCTCCAAGTAAAATCTGACTTGCGCTGGTTTTTTTTTTTTTTTTTTTTTTTTTGGTCAGCCCCCCACCCTTCATTCGTTGCAGGAGGGGCTATAAGCTTCCTTCACTCACAGGGGAGGGAGCTCCAGGCAATTGTTTCTTCCCTGTCTCTTCAGTGTCCCCAAGGGGGTGAGCAAAATTATAGAAACTGAAGTCCAAAGACCAAAAAATGTACAGGGCAAAAGCAGTACTTGAGCTCCAACTGCCAGACTCTTGGTAAGATGCTGTCTGGGGGAGTTGTTCACCTTTGTGAGCTTGGGGCAGAAGTAGGCAAAAAATCAGCCCACCCTCCCTTCACCTCACTCCGTCTGATTGCCTTCTGTGTGCTTCCTTAGAACCTTGAGGTTGGGATCCAGAAGAAGATTGAACATGACGTGGTGATGAAAGCCAACACCAGCCTCCCCAAGAAGCTGGCACTGCTGAAGGCACCTGCCAAGAAGGGAGGGGCTGCTGCCTCCAAGGCACCTTCCTAAGGACACTGGCCTCCACAGCAGGGACCATTCACACAGCCCCTATCTTCATGCTCAGACCTGTGCAGGGTCCCCTCAAACACCACCATGAGGAAGAAGAGCCCCTGACTGCACCTCAGACTTCAGTGGGGGTTCAGACCACTAACAGGTGATAACACATCCCTGAAGTACAGGTCAACCTCCCGAGATTCAGAAATTCAGCGAAGGCCAGAGGGACATCACCAGCTCCTGTGCCCCCTCATTTTCCCAGGACCTCAATAAATCCAGCTTTGTCCTTCCTCAGGAAGTCACCATGCTCCTACAAGCAGGCCTGGGTGTTAATGCATCCTAGTCAGCACCATCAGAAGCCGGGGTAGCCATCCCACCACCCTCAGTGACCTGTCTCCACCTCCTGGCCATAGCCAGGGAAGGAGGATTGCACTTTTGTGCCTCCAGCCTGGGAGCTGGTGGAGTCTTCTCCAGTAACCTCAATCACCTACACACTCTCCACAGACATATCCAAGTTACCACCTCAGCTAGGGAGGAGACAGGCCAGCCAGGAGCTGCTCTCATCTGTAGGATTGGTGGACCACCTCTTGGGGTAACCGTGCCACTTCAGTGTATAAAAAGCCATGGTAGCTAGTATTTCAGTAGCTGACCCAGGAGCTGTCCCTGAGAACTTCCACATATCACCTTTACTTCCAGGTACCCAAGGTGGGTCATCTGGAGCCAAGATTTGAGACTGCTGTTGGAAAGGGTCCTGGCTTCTATTCTTATCTCACCATAGCCACCTCTTATCAAAGATTCTCTCCTGAGCTCTCCACCTAGCCCCCCAAATCTTTGCTCGGGACAGTGCCTGTAGAACCAACCAGGAGCCCTGGCCTAGTGGCCAGCATTCCCTCCCTCTTGGGGGACAAGGCTAGTTGTATGTAGTTCAGGGGCCAGGGGCTGCAGTTCTGCTAAGCAGTGGCATTGAGTAAAGGCAGCAAGATCTGTGTGTAATGGGCTGCACCCCCTGAGGTGGTCCCCAGGCAGACCCCCTTCCTGGTCAGCTACAGCCCCTCAGGTATGTTTTCCTGGTCCCCAAGTAGAGGTGTTCACAGTGCTGGAACTACCAACCTTTTTTTTAAAAAAAGGGACAGTTTCCATGGGAAACAAATCTGGCAGCCCCCTGAGTTCGACATTGAGCAAACGTAGCATTTGCTGTTCCACCCTGAGACATAGTCCCTGCAAGTCCTGAGAGACACAGGCAGCAGCTGCACACGTGTCCTTTCATGGCAGAGTGGGTAAACAAGGTCTGTTTGTACCTGGGATGATTAGTTAATCATAAAGAGGGATGAGTCACTGGTCCATGCCACAGCACTGAAAAGCATGCTGAAAGAAGGCAGACACTAGAGGCCACATCCTGCAGTATCCCATGGAGATGAAAGTATCACAGCAGGCAGGTCAAAGACGGGAGCAGGTTATAGGTGGCAAGCAGGGAAATTCAGCTAATGGGCCTGGGGTCATCTCTTGGAGCTGATGGAAATGTTTAGGAACTAGGGGTGGTTGCAAAACACTGATGCTAAATGCTATAGAGTTGTACATTTTTTAAGATTTGTTTTTATTTATGCACGTGAAAACGGGTGTAGACCAGAGGTGGTAGGTTTAAAGGATTCACTGGAGACAGAGTAGGGAACAGAACAGGCAGATTTGATGAGATCCACTGCTGAGGGAAGCAGCAGGAGAGTTAGGAGAGGTCTGCCTTGCCATGTGGGTCAGCTCCCTGGCTGGGGATCGAACTCATGCCACAATGGCTGGTGTAGCATGATAGTGGTGAGACTTAGCCCCTCCTTGCACCAAGGTTCTTAAGTTGTTTGTTTGCTTTATGAGAGTACTAGACACTTAGAAGGCAGAGAACTTTACACCGAAAAAAATGTATCTCAAAAAATGGAATTGTGGCAGCAGGACCTGCAATTTGAAGGAAGCCTTTGCGATTTGGCATTTCCCTGGGCAAGCATCTGGGTTTGGGGGTGGAGACAGGCTAGGGCAGGTGCATGGAAGATGAGATACAGACTCAGGAGCTGAGTGGGACCTGTGACCCCTAGAGCTTGGGTGTGCCCTGCCTTGAGCACCACCTAGAGGACAATGAGTCCTGCCTCCTGCACCTCACTGCTGCTACTGCAAGCAGGCAGTAACTTATACCCTTGGACACAGCCATTTTGCACCTTGGAGACTTGGTTGTCTGGACAGGCCATCCTCTGGACTAGGAAGAGCCAAGAACTGATTGTCATGGAACGCAGGAAATCCCAAGCCCCAGCCCTTGCAACTCCCTCCTCTGTCCTGCCTGACTTCACACCTGCAGTTACCTGCCCCAGGCAGATATCCTTTCAGAAAGTCTTGTCCACAGCAGTGTGTTTTCTGCTTTGCCTTATTGAACACACAGTTGATGCTCCAGAAACAGGTGTCTGTTGAAGGAAAGAGTTGTATCTCCTAACTAGGATGAAGTTTTGCATTTTACAAGTTCAGTTAAGTTCATTCAATGCATGGTTGCTACAACACACCCTTCAGGTTATCTGATTCTGCATTGTAGTGGTATCTTTGAATGGCTTCCAACTTGGAAAACTAAGTATCTGATAGTAATGTAAATTCCTCTTACCTGTAGATTTGCAAATTCTATCTTCCAGCAGAGGTTTGCCAACCAAGCCTCCCCTGTTGGGGGCGGGGGGGGGTGTCAGGGGAATGTGCCTCTTTGTGCACATTTACTCCCAATATGATCAGCAAAAAATGCCTGATTCTCTACTGGTTCCCACAAGTTTGATAAAAGTTTTAACCTGTGTTCATCTTTACATGTCTGAGAGTTGTGAGTCTCCCTCTTTTGAAAAGTGTCTTATAACCTTCCTAATGGAATCAGAATCTGGAGGCTGGGACAGGCTGTGGACCAGTAGGCACCTCCCCCAACCACCAGGGGGCGCCGGGAACCCAGCCAAGTCACCAAGGGCTGAGGCTTCTGTAAACTGGATTCCTTGGTCCCTTTGACACCCTGCCTCCTGAGGTAGACCCAGAGGCTAGTAAAGGCTTCCAGGTACAATGTATGGGGGGCTGGGTGTTCTGAAGTATCAGCCCACCAGTGTCCCCCTCTGATTCCCAAACAGCTTCACATCTCCCTTCCCCCCCCCACCCCCAACACACACATTTCCCACAAGTCCTCCAAAGGCCACCGGCTGAATAATCAATTCACCTCCTGTGCCAGTTTTAGGCTCCTCTCAGTTATATGACCTTCACTGAGTCCCTTCACCTCTTGCAGCCTGTTTCCCCATCTGCTAAAGGAGGGCCCTAACACCTTCATCAGAGTGAATTCTGGGGCACAGAGGCCATGGGACTCAAAAGGTTGAGTTGCCTTTATGTCCTGAGGGTAGGGGTGACAGACACCTCTTCTCTTCTCTGCCTATCCTCCTGTCCCTCTGCCAGGGCCAGGGCTGTCTCTGAATGTGATTTTTCAGTTATCAACTCCAGCTTTATCCCAACTTCTACCTTCCCCCTCTGCTTGGAATGTTCAGTTTTCCTGGCAAACCCTGACACTTTGCCCATTAACTTATGTTCCAAAAAGGAAGGAAAAGAAATGTAAGAAGTAAATCCTGCCAGCTGGGCAGTCTGGAGGGGCTGTGATAGGACCAGGAAAACTTCCCCAGCTGCTTTCCTGCATAAGCACAGGGTCCTGGAGGGGCCAGTGGGACTCTTGGAAAGTTGGGATAGAATGGCCACAGATCGGGGGTGGGGGGCTGTGTCCCCCATCTGGTCCTCCAGCGGCCCCCTCTTCCCCACAAGGTTTGAGAACACGTGGGTTTGGGGTCAGAAGCTGTGGATGCCTAGACAGTGAGCTCACCACGGGCGGATAAATGTGGCTTCCATTTCCCTAAAGTGGAGCTCACTGACTACACAAATGAGGGAAGCTGCAAGGGGTGACTGGAACCCTCCTCCCATCCTCTCCTTTACTAAGTGTTGGTAGGAAGGGGCAAGGCTTGAAATTGATCTACGAATATTTTCAGAGTATACTCCCCATCCTCCCAGAGACCTTTCCTATCTGGCATACTAGAGGATGGCTGTGTCACCTCGCCTGCAAAGTTAAGAGCCTCACAATAAAATGTTGGTGTTTCCAAAACTTTGCATTTGATCCCCAGCCACTGTGACAGGCCCACCCCTTGCGCTTGAACACTATCCCTATTGTGCTGGAGCAGGGCACACTACCCCAAAAAGCCAGCCACACTGCTGTAAAAACAAGAAACTATTGCAAGCTCAAGACCTGCCTGGCAGAAGAGATTTTATACATGACTCAAGTGCGGGCTCAGGTGTACCATGGGTGGTGTCCGGTTGGCGGCCCCTTGCACCTTCCATGTTTGGTACAGAAGGCCCACGGCCATTGGTGACTGGCTGGCAGGCATGGCCCATGGTAACATCATGGTAGCCTTCTATGGTGTCATACAAAAGCCCCATCTTGGAAAAACAAACTCAAGCCGAAAATGGCCACCATTAATTCAAGATGGAGGCTGTCACACTCTTCATTCCATGTGTGTGTGTCGGGAGGTATTGTATTGGTTGGAGGTAAAAACTCTCAGGGTTATCAATGGGCTCTGCCACTCACAGTAGTCTAGGGGCAGATATTGAGGTCTAAGGACCATTAACCAGATGGTATTAAAACGATCTTTAGCAAACTGCAAGACGCAACTGAGTATGCAGGGCCCTATGGTCAGTACCAGTAAGAAGGCAGTAGCCGGGTCTAGCAAGGGAAGGAGGTACAGTATCCACCCACCCAATCCTTCCCAGAGAAAGGTGTTTTTATCTTCTAGCCTCCTCCGGCATCGTTCTAGGTCCTCCTGTAGTTGCTTAACTTTGATTCTAACTATACCAGACTTGTTAGCATAGAAGCAGCACTCCTCTTGTAGATACAAACACAGGCCCCCTTCCCTAGCCGTAAGTCAGTCTAGTCCCCAGCGGTTTTGAAGGGCCACTGTGGCCAGGGAATCTATCTGGGTCTGCAATTCAAGGGTTGTCTGCCAATTGCTCAATGTCTTCAATTAGTTTAACAGATACTTTTTTTATAGAATGAGCTGAGGTTCCAATCTCTGCCACCCCCGTACCTACGCCCGCAGAGACACGGAGGCCGAGTAGCAGGGGGAGAATTGACCCTTGTTTAGGTCCGCGCACAGCGGGAATGGTCTGAGTAACCTGGACCGGCAGACTTTGACTGCCAGGAATGACTCCGGCCTGAGGCACGAGGATAGCCAAGATACAGGACCGGACCATCCTGCCAGCACGAATG